CCCCAAAACCCCAAAACCCCAAAACCCCAAAACCCCAAAACCCCATTTGTGGATTAATGAATTGAAGGTGATTGAATGTGGGGTTGGTAGAAATGACTGGTGATTTATGGGATTTATGTAGCTGCATGAGGATAGAAAATTTGATGAATGAAAGAATGGGGGTTATGGGATGGTTGGATTTAATAAAGTGATAAATTAGGGTTGTTTTAACTGTTTTTGGGATTTTAGTGAAGAATATTAATGATAACTTAAGGTTCATCTGAAGATTTCATCACTTCATATAGCCTACGAAGCTCTCGAATATTTTCAAATTTCTCTCCTTTGTTTTCAAGTAGAATAGAGCTATGGAAGCTCTGAGTGTTCTCAGAATCAGGCTCAAAAGCATTCATATTGATTAATTCTTCAAGTCCTCCTTTACTTCCTTTCTCTCTCATACAGTAGGATCAACTTCAAGGACTACTTTCTCCTTCACTATTGAGCCGGCAGTCAGATTCCTCTGGAGGCTGTTTTTCCATCATCTGTTTATATTCTTGCTCTTTCATGTATTCCATTTCTTTTCCATATTTATTATGATTAACTTGATCAATCATATCAATTAGTACAGAGGAATTTCCTTCACTTAGGTTCAGTTTTCCAGGATCAGAGCCACCCAACTTCTTCTTGAGTTCAGCCTCCTTCATTTTCTTCCTCTCCTTCGCTAGATTTTGGTTCATCAAATTAAAATCAAGAGCTGGGACATTTCTCGGTTTATCTTTCATAGGTGCTGGGCCTTCATTAATAGGTAGGTAACTTTCTTCACTAAATAATGACATATCAGTTTGTTTATCTAATTTATCTAGCTTATGGGCTCTTTCAGTGCAAGCGAAGTCAAAGTCTCCAATCAAGCCCATTTCCTTCATTTTCTTCTTCTGTTCAATATAAATCTCCTTGAATTTGTCATCAAGATTTGTAGAAAATCTTGATGTAGGAAGATCCTTTATGTGATCTTCAAAAATATCAAACACTGGATAGTTATTTCTGCTGCATTAGAAATAGGAAGTACATAAGTTTGTTCTCTCTTTGCTTCCCATATTCAATCTCGCTCTTGAGCTCTCTTGCAATGCATTTAACATCTTCGTTCTCTTTGATTACTTCTTTGATCTCCTTAAGGACCTTCTCCTGATCGTATTTGCCAAACATTGAGTTAGCCTTCTTTTCCATTTCTTGAGCGTATTTCTTGAGCTCTCTGATGTTCAAATCACTTTCCTTCTGTGATCTCTTGAGCTTAGTGACTTCTTTGGAAAGATCAATGATTTTATTTATCTTTGGCATCTCATTCTTCTGAGAGATGAATTAATTTTTGATTCAGCTCAGTTGCTTCTTTCTTCCATTTCTTTATCTCCTTAGCTTTTCCTTCAAAATCTGAAATGGCTGTCTTGATACAGTTGTTGTAGCAATCCCGGATCTTGTGCAACACTTTTGAGAAATGAGGATAGACTTTACATAACTTTTTGATAGTTTCATCAGAGGCCTCTCTAAGAAGCATCTCAGGTACCTTCTCTAAGGTCTGGTCCTTAGATTTTGTTTTTACTTGATAAAACTTATATTCCATTTCAAGAGTTTCCTCTATCTGGTGAAGTACTTTCTTTTCTTGGTTCTCTCGATTACTCTCTGCATTCTTATTAACCCGGTTACGCATGGTTCTATTGGTTTCAATCCGATCAGTTGTGGTCGAAAGCTGGTCATTTCAGTCACCAGGTAGGAAAGCATTAAAGTTCTTGTACTGCTGGATTTTGGAGCTGCCTTTCTTCCTACCTGAGTTTAAGATCTTTTCAACAGCACATCTATTATTCTTCCTTGAGACAAGATGATTTGTGTTGTTCATATGCATCATCTTTACTTTAGAAGATTTATCAAAACTCTTCTTCTTTAAACTATCCTTATTTGTTGTAGTATGACATATTCCAAAGTCAGAGGGCTGCCCAAGACTTCCTTTAATCTCAATCTCTGTTTTATTAGATGATCGACGGTTGGATCGATAGTCCAGAGTCGATTTCTAGAGTATTAGCACATGAAAATTACCATTTTCTTCTTTTCTTCTAATTTTTGGAAATCTTTAGAGCCTAGATTTGATCAGATTCTCTGTCAAGAAGTAGAATATTTTCAGTCAGAAATTCAATTTTAAAAATTTCAAAATTTAAGAACATTTCGGGTGGCGAGAGATAATATTTTGAATTACTTACTTCTTTTATATGTTTTAGGTATAGATCCATTGCTAAGGATCCCTTTACTTGCGTTATTTCTTGAGGAACCTGTCCCTAAATGTGTTGTCAATTTCTTGAGTTTATCCTTAGTGTACTTCGACTTCTTCAAGACCGGTGAAGTGCTTCTGTCTTCAAAGTGAGATAGGTGATGAGCCATGGTTAATGTAGTGTTCTAAATGAATAAGAATCCTGCTTAAGAAAAGAAATTTATTGAATTACCTTTACAGTCTTCCTTCGATGTCCTCCAGCCTTTTTAGCAGACATTTTGCCTTTCATATTATACTCTTCAAGTGAACTATTGTGGGGAATATCAGCGTTATTTTCCAGAAAGTTATTCTTTGATATAACCTTGAACCCCAATCTTTCATTGCTTGTCTTGTTTTTGCTACTTTTATATCTACTTTCTACATAAATGTAATAAACAACTGAAAAATTGTGTTTGAATTACCTTCAGGACCTTTAGATACGTTCTTTGATTTCCCACTTTTTCTCTTTGAAATGAATCTGCCCTTGGAAGATCCTTTACCAAACAACTTATTACTCTTCCCGAACTGCTTTAAGGTTTGTAACTTAGTAAAACAGTTCATGGTTGGAGATAAAGTTGAGATGCTCTTCGAGTTTGTAAGTTTGCTCAATCCAACTGCAGAGAGCGAACTCGTACTCTTATGATGTGGAAATATATACGACCCAGTATTCACCCTTCCTTTGCTAGGATTCCTGGACTATACATTAAGCTATATCCCTAAACTCCTAAACTCCCAAACTAACAATCCTGGTTCAGCCTTGTCTAAACCCCTTGAACTTACCTTTTCCCGGTCGTTGCTTTCATATTTCGACTCTTGCCTATTCATTTTTATAATTATTCAATCCTAAATTTTTTAAAGGGGTTTTGGGGTTTTGGGGTTTTGGGGTTTTGGGGTTTTGGGG